ATTCTCACTATTTAAGTAAAATTTGTGTGAATAAATCCCTCTTAGTTATAGAATTTTGAGAAAAAGATGATTATAGGAGGAGGAAAGCTATAAATTGACTATGTGATTTGCTTATTTGTAAAATTAAGTTAGGGTAAGAGATTAAGTTTAACTTGTTGAATTTAGGGTATAATTATCTTTCCTTTACTTGATATTATAAGTATTTAGTGTAAATTGAATAATTGTATAATGATTATTTTCCAAGTCTTGAGGAATTAAATTGGACAAAGTGCATATATTGTTTCACCTCTTGAATCATTGCATTTGATTATGTGTGAATTGCTTGAGGACAAGCAATGATTTAAGTATGGGGAGTTTGATAAGTGACTAATTTACGTAATAATTGTATGACATTTTATATTATTTTTAGTCACTTTGGTTATATTATTGGAAGAATATGAATCATTTTGGCTATAATTGGTGAAAAATGCTTTTAAGTGATTAAATGAGGTTTTTATCACTTTTTACTTGGATTTTGTGTATTTTGACAGTTTTGACACATTTTCGTATTTCGGCTATAACTTGAGCTACAATGATCGGATTAAGATGATTCTTGAACCAATTTGAAGATAAGAGATAGATCTACAACTTTGGTGAAGACATCTAAATCCAGTTTGAAGGTTTTCCAGGTCAAAATGCCGAATTACAATAGCAAATTTCTACTGGTCGAAGCTGGAACAGGGCAATGAGCAGGCAAGGGTATTTCAGTCATATCTCAGCCTACACAGATCCAAATGAGGTGATTCTTGATGCATTAGAAAGATAACTCAAAGGCTACAACTTTCGTGTTTTAGACATGAGCTGGTTCAGCCTCTAACATCAAGAAAAGATTGGTTGAAGTTGGGCCAAAAACAGAGCAAGTGATCCACACTCGGATCCACTATTCATCCGAACCCTCGGTTGTTTCTGGGTTAGTGGATCCGAGCTCGGATCCATACGGATCCGAGGTACTGTAGCAGCTCGGATCACTGGTCAGAAAAGACTGCTCTGTACGCGTAAAACTCAATTTCCCCCACCAACTCACATTGGATGCTATACATGTGAGAAACATTCCCAGCTGTAAAAGGGAGATGTAATCCTCATTTCTTGACCACCTTTCATCATTAAATAGCCAAATGCATTGCAAAAAATAGGAGATTGGAGAGATTGGAGTCCATAGCAGAAAATAGAGAGTGAGCTACGGGAGAAAGCTTGAAGCTGCAGAAATGTAGCTCTTTCATCTCCCTAGTGTTAGTTTAGCTTAGTATAGAGTAGTGTAGCTTTTCCATTCTTGTTTATTATCTAGATTAGGATGAAGATGGAGGATGAAGAAGGCAAGGAAGAAAGCTCATGTGACAAGGGTTGTATTCCTTCCAATTTCTTTATCTTTTGTATTTGATTCCAAGTTTAGTTAATATACAAGTTCTGGATTTTGTGTTCATTATGTGTTTCTAAAGTTTATACCTTGGGTTTGGTTGAACTTTCTATAATTGTTAGTGTTTATTATTTGGTTATTTGATTGCTATGATTTGAGCAAGTTATTTAGCACTTTGGCTCTTTAAATCATGATTAATCTGGTACCATTGATTGTGATTATCTAAGGTGTTGTTTCTGCAATGGAAATTGAGATTTAACACTAGTTCAAAAAAGTGCTAAACATAGGGAGTACACTCACGAAAGTAGAGGTGCACTTATGTGGTTTTTAGTGATTCATTTCATGTAATTTCATTGAAGAAATGAACTTGTAGCTAATTTCATAACCATGAAAATAGGTATGGATTAGTTATGAGTATAGTTGATTCACTACGAAAGTAGGTTTCACATGTTTAAGAAATTACACTATAACTAGCCTAGATGTAGTAATTAATGATCCAAATATAGCACTTGCATGAGTAGTTAGGGATACCACAACCCAAGGAGCTTTTATTTGCTATTTTCTTGCATAATTTCAGTAGGTTTTAATTTGTTATAATTCATTGATAGTCTAAATAATAGAGAAGCTTAAGTAGTACGGTAATTGCAATCTTCCTTGTGGGATCGACCCTTAATACCCTATACTAGCTCACGATTCGTATACTTGCGATAAATCGCATGTGGGGTATTTAGGAGTTTATAAATGTAAAACTTGATTAGGATGAGCTTAATTGTATATGTATACTCCGCGCACGTCACCTGCTTTCCATGTGGACAAGAGCCTTCGGTGGTTCCAGTTTGGTTTAAGTTACCAAAATTGCCACTGCATTACTTTAACAAAGAATGCTTGTTCCAGATTGCAGGAGTTTTGGGGAATCCTTTGTTTGTAGATTCTGCAACCATGGTGGCTTCCAGGCCAAGTGTTGCTAGGGTGTGTGTAGAAGTAGACTTGTTAAAACCTCTTACTCCTAGGGTGTGGATTGGTAATGTGATCATGAGGGCTTTTGGCAAGCTTTAATTCCAGAAAATCTGCCTAAATATTGTTCCCATTGTTTTAAGCAGGGACATATCCAAGAGGACTGTCATATGCTATATCCGGATCTTAAAATTCAGAGACCGTTAGCTTCCAAGAAACAGGATGGTCATGCACGCTTTCAACCTACTTCTTCACCTGGCTTGGGCACAATAGGCAAACAGGATGATCATTCTGGAAAGAGGTGGATCCAATCATTGTGGCTAGCAAACAGGATGATCAATCTGGGAAAGAGGTGGATCCAATCATTGTGCCTGCTACTACGGAGGAGGATGTGGGTGTGGTTGATAAGGAGGGGCCTTCAAAAACTCCTAAAGTCACGACTCCTTTTGTTGAAGACGCAAATATTTGTACTGGATTTTCACAGAACCTGCTACATATTCATGTTTTGATACTCAGGCGGTGGTGTCTCAGTATGATCTTGATGGGCTGGAAGATACTATAACGGTGGCTCCTACTGTTGATCCCTCAAACAGGCAAATTGACAACTTGGACTTATGGCTGGAAAGGAAAACCGGCAAGCCCGTTCTACTTGTCAGCTGGAGCAGAATGCTCTTGTCATTGATATATCTCATTGTGCTGTGCTGGAGGATTTGCAGGCAAAACAATCATCTGTGGTTGCGGATATCTTTAATCTTGAACCGATCATTCAACAAGTTAGTGAAAAGCTCCAGCATGAGGAAGGTTTACAGGTGGTTACGCACGGCAAACCGAAAGGTATCAGGGCTAAATTTTCATCTGATCATTCGCTGCGATCGAAAGCCAAGGTTTCCTCAAACTCTTCCTCTTCCTTGTCTCAATGATTAAGTTTATGTTTTGGAATATTAGGGGTGTATCTCGCGCCCCAAATTTTCGAAGATTGAGGTATTTGGTAAAACACCATTCCATTCAACTAGTAGCTATTTGTGAGTCGAAAATTCAAGTTGCAGAGATCCATTCGATTAGGATGAGACTTAATATGGATCACGCTGTATTTAGTAGTTCGGGTGATATTAGGATTTTTTATAAAGCCTCTATTTTTGTCGTATAGTTGGAGAATCTAATCAACATTTGTCGTTACAAATTGATTCTGCAATATTTGCTGTCCCTATTATTTTTTCATTTGTCCACGCCAAGTGTACTGCCCTTCAACGAGTAGAATTATGGAATAGCCTTCTTGTGGACAAACCGACTCAGTCTGCCTGGCTTCTTGTGGCGGATTTTAATGTCATTGTCTCGGAGGAGGAGAAAAGGGGTGGGTGCCATTTAGACCAGAGGAATGTTGGGATTTTTTGAACTTTATGTCTCAAGCTGGGATTTTTTATGTGGGGTATTCAGGGTCTATTTTCACATGGCGCAACAATAGATATGGTCGGGCGTGTATTTGGAAGAGATTAGACAGGTTGCTTATGAATCAGGTTTCTTCCAATTTAGGCTTAGGTTTTGCCGTACAACATTTGTGTAGAGACCCATCAGATCACGCTCCATTGTTATTGTCGGCTCTTACAAAATTGGATAACAAGCCAAAGCCATTTCATTTTTTGAATTTCTAGACATCTAAACCAGAACTGTTGGACGTGGTTAGGTGCAATTGGAACGGGAATTTTTCAGGCCCACCATTAAAGGTCCTTGCAGCCAAGCTTCGGAATGTAAAGGTGGCATTACGAACGTGGTCGCGCGAGGTTTTCGGTGATATCTTTGAAGCTGTAAAGGTGGCGGAACAACGTGCTCTCAATGCTGAGTTTAGTTATGATGCTGATCCGTCTGAGGCAAATTTAGTTGTATTACACGAAGCACAAGCCCAGCTAAGGCGTTCACATGCACTTGAGAATATGTTCTGGCAACAAAAATCTAGGATTAAGTGGTTAAAGGATGGTGATAGGAACTCCAAGTATTTTCATTCTGTGGTGGTGAAACGATGAATAAGTACATCATTAATCCATCGCATCAAGTCGTCTGCTGGGAAGTGGTTGGACAGTACATCTGATATTGAGGGAGAGGCTGAATCGTTTTTTAGACGTTTGTTCACGGCTGAATCATATGCTCAATCCTTTGAAACTCTTGAGGTTATCCCTAAATTAATTACTTCACATGATAATGTGATGTTGGAGAAAATCCCATCCAAGGAAGAAGGTAAGTTGGTGGTGTTTTCTTTGGATGGTGATAGCTCGGCTGGTCCGGATGGCTTCTCGGGTAAGTTTTTTACGTTTGCATAGGACATTGTGGCTGAGGATGTATATACGGTAGTTATTAGTTTTTTTTGTGGGGAGGTTTTGCCTAGAAGTATCTCTTCAACTTCAATAGTGTTGATTCCAAAATTGCATTCTCCACAAGACTTTACACAATTTCGTCCTATAAGTTTGTGTAACTTTATCAACAAGGTGATCTCAAAAGTTTTATCGGATAGATTGTCTTGTCTCCTTCCTAAGATTATTTCGCCTTAGCAGAGTGGATTTGTCAGAGGAAGGCAAATTTCAGATAATTTTTTGCTGGCTCAAGAGATGCTTTCTGGGATTCGCAGTCTAATCAGGGGGGGAATGTGGTTTTGAAGTTGGATATGGCCAAAGCTTACGACAGAGTCTCATGGCTCTTTTTGTTGCAAGTACTGCGACGCTTTGGTTTTGGTGAGCGGTGGATCGATATGATTTGGCGATTGATTTCCAATGTCTGGTTTTCGGTTCTTATTAATGGCTCCCCATGTGGTTTTTTCCAGTCAACTCGGGGACTACGCCAAGGAGATCCCATTTTGCCGGCTCTTTTTATTATTGGGGCAGAGGTTTTATCTAGATTGCTGAATTCTTTGGTAGGACAGAGAGGTTTCCTTCCCTTTAAGGTCCCCCCTTCATGCCCTATTGTCACGCATCTAGCTGATGCGGATGACGTGATTATTTTTTGTAGTGGAGTTAAGCATACTTTGAAGAAAGTCATGAGTGTTTTGGAGAACTATTGTGGTGTATCTGGTCAGCAACTTAACTATCAAAAAAGCTGCTTTATTGATCATGATGCTTTGACTTTACCTCGTAAACGTGTCATTTCACAAATCTCTGGTTTTCACGTCAAGTCACTTCCTATTAGATATCTTGGCTGTACTCTCTACTCAGGGAGAAGGAAAAGGAGTTATTTTTCAGATATCTGCACTTCAGTTGCTAAGAGAGTTTTGTCTTGGAAGGAGAATCTTTTGTCGTCTGGAGGGAGGTTAGTGTTACTCAAAAGTGTTTTATCATCTTTACCTATACATGTCTTAGCTGCTTCGACTCCTCCGAAGGGTGTTCTCCGCACCCTTGAGAAAGCATTTGCAAATTTTCTATGGGGTACGACTGAAAAAGGGTCTCGGTATCATTGGATTGCATGGGATTCATTATGTAAGCCGTATGCCGAAGGGGGTGTGGGAGTGAGGGCTTTGACTGATGCGTTTGATGCCTTGTCATTGAAGTTATGGTGGTCTTTAAGGCAACGTCAATCCCTTTGGGCCGAATTTATGCACACTAAATATTTACATAATTTGCATGCTTGCGAAGCTGAATTTCAGCCATTACAATCGATAACTTGGAAGAGATTGGTTACATATCAGTCTTTGGCAAATTCCCACATTCAATGGGTGTTGCAGAATGGCTTGATAAACTTCTGGCATGAGAATTGGACTGGTACAGGTCCTTTGTGTCAGCAAATCGAGATTTTTGAAGATCACACAGTGGCGGACTTTGTTTTAAATGGTCACTGGAACATTCCAATGTTTCGTCAATGGCTCCTAGAAAATATTGTATCTACGATTCTACAAATAACTCCCCCTGATGTTTTTTCTAATCAATCTGATAGGATGGTGTGGGATTTAGAAATTTCTGGTTCATTTTCCTTTTTTCAGCGTATAAGGTGGTCCGCAACGTTCCAACACGTCAATCTTTTCATCTAACATTTGGGTGAAGGCCTTGCCAGCAAAAATCTCATTCTTTATGATGAGGATGCTATCTTGGAGACTACCGGTGCAGGATGTGTTGCAGCGCTTTGGTGTGTGCCGACCATCTCGTTGTGTTTGCTGCCAAAATCCTAGGTTGGATTCTACTGATCATGTTTTCTGTACAGGTGAAGTCCCTCGCCAAGTTTGGCAATCGTTTCAAGTAGAGATTGGCGAGTTTACCACGCATTCAACGCTAAAGCATGCAGTCATTCAATGGTGGTTGTGGCCAGCTAAAAACATGAAGCTTAAATTGGTTTATCAGCTGCTGCCATCGCTGATTTGCTGGCATCTTTGGAAAGCTAGGAATGCTGCGGTTTGGGAAGGCAAGGTGTTGTTGGTCATGCAGATTCATACTTTTGTTCTTTTTGATCTCTATGATATTTTCCAATTACATTTTACAGACATGGGAGTTGGAAGGTACTCGTGGCCATGTTTTTACTCTTCACTGGTGAGTTGGAAAAAAACATTTAAGTTCATCCTGGTTAGGTGGATCCCTCCATTCTTGACAATATGTAAACTGAATACCGATGGTTGTTCTCTAGGTAATCCGGGAAGGAGTGGTGGTGGGGGGTTTTGAGGAATAGCTCGGGGATGTTTTTGTTAGGTTTTGCGTGTTATTGGGGTGTCATGTCGAGTTTACATTCAGAGTTGAAGGCTTTGTTATTTGGAGTTAAGCTTTGTGTTATGCGAGGTTTCTTTTGCTTGCATTTGGAATCAGATTCTTTACTTCTAGTCCAAATGGTTAAGGGGGTTAGTAGATGTCCATGGGGTTTGCAACGAGAGCTGGATCAATTGCTCACTTTTAGGCATTTCTTTCAATCCGTCACTCATTGTTATCGTCAAGCGAATGTGTCTGCAGACCGCTTATCTAAGGTTGGAACTGAGTTAGAATCCAATATAATGTATGATTCATTGTTGCAATTGCCACGATTGGTTCGTGGAGACCTCAAGTTGGATAGGTTAGGTTATCCTAATTTTCGGGTTTACTAAACATTTGGATTTCTGGAATGGAATCTAGGACGTCCACAATCATTCAAGCGCTGTTGCTGCTGCTGTTGTTTCGCTGTTGCTGCTATTGTTGTTTGGCTCTCCAGTTGAGCAATTCTCTCTTTTTGCTGTTTTGGATGTTTTTGCACCTCTGTTTGGCATCTGCTGATGTAATGTGAAATTTATTTCTCAATAAAAGTTATAATATTTTGCCTAAAAAAAATAAATTGGGTAGCATGCAGTTCACTGTTGAACTCAAAGCAACTCCTACAGTTCTACATCGTCTCAAAACTGTCAAACCATAGTGGTGTGAATGTGTGATGTTTGTCCAACGTCAAACTGCTTCATGCTTGTTTTGTTTGGCTGGGTAAGGTAACTTTCGTTAATATTAACAAGGAAGAGTACTAATCTTGCAATCAAATTATTGTGTATCAACCTCCTTTCTCTTTTTTTTTTTAGTGTAAACGGGAGGATTTGAACCCGAGACCTCTTGCTTACACTCCCTCCCCCCATACCACCCAACCCAACCCTTCCCCCCTATTAAACTCCTTTCTCAATTTCCACAAAATGGCACCAAGTAATCAATTACCAGTCCAAGAGTTACTTTTCTATCAAACTCCCCATTCCATTTTATTTGGACTCTCTTTTCTCAATTTCCACAAAATGGCACCAAGTAATCAACTACCAGTCCAAGAGTTACTTTTCTATCAAACTCCCCATTCTATTTTATTTGGACTCCTAGCTGAAGTGAATAATATAATTGGGTTTATAATCATTGAGGCTTTAGTGCATGGACAACGAAGCTTGCTGAGATTCCCTTTGTGTAAAAAAAAAAAGAAGAAGAAGATGAAGGTACAGTAATGCACTTATTTGATTTGAGGGTCCAACCTGCAGCTCCTTTACATATTCTAATTGGCCGCCGTCGTCCTCATGGTGTGAGAATATAATACGCATTGTACATGTAAATACAAATATATAAGTTGCATAGATAAAAAAAAGATTAGAAAACTCATGTAAATTGTATTTGTAGCATTTAGAGTTTAAATTTATGTATAAATCAATTAGTGATATATGGAAATTGAAACTGGTAAATAGCAATGAAAAGCATAAATTTAGATGTTAACTGTCAACACATATTTCTTTTATTCTTTTCACTTCTTTTTATTTCATTTATCAATCTTTTTTGAAAATTTTTTTGCTAGCAGTGATGAGGTAAAATTTAAGAAGTGGAGGAGGAAGAAAGGGAAGGGGTTTTTGAACCCAAGATCTCTAAATTTTGGCATCCCAATCTTAACCATTAAACTAAAACCTCCTTTGCTTTCATCTATCACCATTTTTGCTTTATAACATAGCAATGTTGTCTTCTCATCTCTTGAAAAAATATGTAGAGTAGTGTCCTTCTATGATAACACTAAATTGGCAGTCATTTTGTTTTCTTTAGATATTTAGGATTTATCCATTTTAACTTTTACTTTCTAGGAACATGCTAAAAATTGTCTATTATATGATAATGAATAAGTAGTATTATTTCTTGAATTACACTGATATTTCTGGAGGTTTGATTTTGTCTTAAAGACCATTTTATAATTTTAAAATCATACTCACGTCCCTTATTAGCTTTTTAAAGTTGTTTACAACAATAACTTTATTAAAAAATCTCACCTCTCAGTAAGATGATGGTAATTTTAGGACTATAAACACATCTTAGAAACATTTATTGAACAAGTTGCAGAATATTAAAAAATTGAATTTCTTAATTATGCTTTAGAATAGATAAATACAATTGACCTTTCTAGAAGACTATTCACCCCTTTAGGTGTTATTGTTTGTAGATGTGGAATAACTTCAATGAAATAAAGCAAATAAAGTCATTGATTTTATTTAAAGTTCACCCCATTATATAGAAACCTGGAGTTACGCATAATTATTGTATGAATCTTACCACAGGTATTTTAAGTTTTTTCAAACATTTTTTCACTAGACTTTTGATTCTTGCTTAGCAAGTAGATAGTAATAAACATCTTATGTTGTTTAAGAGGTACGGTGAAATTGCAAAGTATTTTGCATATTATGAGCTGCAAAACTATGGAAAATGTAAAAATTTGAATGCAAGCAAGTCTAATTTCTGATAATCTCAAAGCTGGAAATGGGAAATTACTAATATTTTTAGAAGACACTTATGACTACAGTCTTAGGGGTATGAAATACTATTTTTAGAACAATCCTTATGCCCTACAAGTAACCAGTGATAACTTTTAACCTCCTTACTACCAATACATATTTATATCTTACTCTTCAATAGAAATCACATGACAAATTTTAGCATAGCCAACAAAACCATTTAAGTATATCAATGAACTAAACATTTTTCAAATAACCTGACAACATAATTTTCCTCTCAAAATATTCTATTGATGATAACTCTACCTAATGTGGAAGAAATTTTTTTTTTTAAATGACAACTAATCATCCGAATGTGGTTTTTGGTCCACTATGACTCTTTAGTTCAAATGCATGAACTTTCAATGAAAATAGTTCAAATACATGATCTTTCAATGAAAATTTTTTTAACAGAGCTATCAGTGTCTAAGTTAAAGACTTAGTAAGTCCATTAATCTTTGTCGCCCATCTAACGAAGAAATCATAAGACCTTATTGTCATGCTTCATCAGTGGACAAATTGAAAGCAGAATAGATGCATATGAAATGAAAGTACTAGCATTAAAATATGATAACACACCTATTATAGTTCATTGAATATAATGATAAACTATTATAGTTGTGACGACCCGGCCGGACCCTAAGACAAATCGTAGGGCTTAGCAAACCAACTGTCTAACTGTGACAGCCCCACCTCCCTCTAGGGCGTATCCCAGGGTTCGGCGGGTCGCCTGCTCAACTCTCGCCAGGACTCACTCACTCATAACTCAAGAAAAATAATGTACATCCATAGAAAATAAATAACACATCAACTTCAACTTAATATATACATTGATGCTCAAAATCCAAATACAAAACTTCTACACAACAAAATACATCAAGTGTTTACAATTCGAGTACAATCAACCCTAGTCGGGTGCTAGCTTGAGTACAAATTCAAAATTTCAAAAACTAGACTACGCTAGTCTGTACACGTCTCACGCCTCGCTCGTACCCCCTGTAAGGAAAATAAATGATGTGGAATGAGCTAAAAGCCCAGTGAGGTTCTAAATAACAAGTTGACCATTATTTAAAAGTGCAAGTATCACGTAGCAAAGTAATGAGCATGAAAAGTTCATAAAAGTGAGTAATAACACTTCAAATAGCAAATCTCAAAATGAGCGAGTGTAAAATTTTCTTTTAAAACAAAACAATAACACGATAAGTACTAATCATTCCAAAGTATAAGGATACGGATGGCTCTCAGGAGCCAAATTCCCATTGCATCACCAGAGCTTGATCAAGTAATAGTTGACACTCCGTCAACTTTCAAGTAAGTAACCAATCCAGTAGAGCACCACTTAAACTACTCTCCGTCCACCATCCAACCCCATACCGGGCCCGAACTCCAAGATAAACACTGGTGGTAATACTCGAGTATACCAATTAGTCGAGGAGATAACACTCCACTCGACAACACTAGATACCCATGGTTCGTTATCTAATCGATCAAGCCCTTGCCGGCTCGACTCGATTAACTAGCCAGGGGGTTTGGATCCCCAAGAAGTCGATGAGTTATCATCTCCAATCGACTGAATTAAAATAAAAGTACGGAGACAGGAATGAGAGGCACTTCCCACTCACAATGAGTGTGGTACATGCTACCGCTCAGCACTTACAAGTCAAGTACAAGTATATCAAGTCGATTGCAACAATAAACAAGTATATATCATATTAGGGCAAGTGCGATAAATTACACTCTCGCCCGATCAAACAAATTACATATCATTAAATCACATTGGTCAAGTATTGAAAACAAATATCCAGTTCAATCAGGTATTTGGAAGCACTCACCAAAGGTCTAGTGCCTCTCAAAAGTCACGTTCAGGTCCAACTCCTTGGTTGGCGTCCAAATCTGCGATAATATATTATTTGCGAATGTAAAACTCTCTAGAGTTCGAAACATAGGAGTTTCGCTTCAAGAAAATCAAGTAAATGCAACTCATTTAAGTAGTATTCAAATACTTATCAAATTTCGAAAAATTCACGCTCGCTCTTAAAACTTTGAAACTTTGAAGCAATTATACTTTGAAATACCATTTGAGTCGATGAAATGGAGAAAACGTATTTCTATTAGTCGTAAATTTCATTTTTCCAAGGGTACAAGTTTCGGCCGAATGCTAACTTATAGATCTCTATGAAACAATACTAGAATACCCTAGACGATTCAAGTTCAATTCGTCCTCAAACCCTTACTCAAGTCGTGACTATATCTACCTAACCTTCGAGTGAAAATTTGGGTAGCACGCCCTTTGTGTTTACTTATTTTCCAGCAATTTATGGTTTCATTATTTTTCTCATTTCAGCCCCCAAAACACACACACACACAATGTCACCAACATAGGCCTTCAATTAGGCTCCACAATCATCCAAGTACAACACAAATATAATAATCCAAT